TCCCATAATTTTTTCCATGCCTCTTTTCCAAGTGCGGTGAATGCTCCAGTTGTCAATGCCTTTAAACCTGCCTTTATCGCAGGTGCTATTGTGTTTTTCAGAATAATGCCCGTCAAGCCAGCTGCAAAACCTCCTCCGTCTTGTGCATCATCTAGTTTGTCCATAAGCTCATTGAAATCCTTACGTGTCGATGCAGTAGGTGTGTATCGTTGTTCAGTAAGTTCTTGCTTTCGTCTCCAAAATTCATCCTCGTCATCTGGTAACTTGGATTCGTACTCTGTCCAGTTTATGGTCTTCTCTGACATTATATAATCACTTGATATATTATAAGTATGAGCTTAAATTGGGATCCCGCGAGATGGAGACAAACAGAATCAGTAACTAAAGAATATGTTGATGGTCGATTGGCTGTCAAGGTGGATACAAGTAACGGTACTGCTTCAAACCTAACATTAACCGGAACGACATCCACTGTTACAAGCGTTGATGTGAAGATAAACGACAAGATCATTGAATTAAATCAAAACGAGGCAGGAGCTGGTTTGTCAGGATTGACACAATCAGGTTTATTGATTAACAGAGGCAGCGAAACGAATGCATACATTGTTTTCGATGATGCTGACGATGCTTTTAAAGTAGGATTTGAAGGGGATTTAAAGACTGTTGTAACTTCAACTGATCTTAGTGAGATAACTGATGATATCACAGCTTTGGGAACTGATGTTAGTGATCTTCAGACAGCTGTTGCTGGTCTCTCTACAAGTGTGGCTGTAGAATCAATATACGCGTCAGTTTCCGCTACTTTACCAGAGACAACGGTCACTGACTTGACCATCACAGGTGATATCACTGTACCAAACCAAGATGCTTCCTCGGTATTAGCAACCGATTCTATTAAGAACGTCATCTCTGTTCCATACAGTCAAGAAAACACTCCCAATACGATTGTGTATCGGGATAGCAGTGGTAGCTTCAGTACTGGGACAATCGACATGAGTGGAAACGTAATACAATCACTAGGCACTCCATCGGAGTCTGATGATGCAGCAACCAAAGGTTACGTTGATACTGCAGTTGCTGATGCTGATTACTTGCCTTTGGCTGGAGGAACTATGAGTGGTGCGCTTCTTGTACCCGATGGCAGTGCTTCCACACCAGCAGTGGCGTTTGCAGGTGACACTGACACTGGCATCTACTCCGCATCTTCAGGAGAGATCTCGTTTTCATCTGGTGGTACACAGTGCGCGTATTTTAATGCATTGGGTATCCGCACCAGTGTTGATGTAGCTGCTCAAGGTACTGTGAGTGCACCGTATGTGGTTTCGACTGCTCAGTTTCTTGCTGGAAACGGAACCGTAACAACCCCAGCTTACACTTTTAGTGCAGATGACAACACTGGACTGTACAGATTCGGAGCCAATCAACTCGGTGTCAGTGCAGACTCAACCACTGTAGCAATCTTCACAACAACTGCATTGAATGTGGCTACTGGGTTGAATGTCGCGGGCTTCACATCACTTGGAACTGGTAATACCGGCATCAAAGTTGCTGTCTTCACTGGTACAACTGCTTCTGGTAGTGGTGGGACTGTAGCACAAAACATCACAATTGATAGAAACAAGATTGTGAGTATGACTGGAACCATCTTCGCGTCCAATAGCAAAACCATCGCATTCAACACTGGCTCGGGTCAGTATTACGTGTATGCTGATGTGAGTGGCGCATCGTCCCCTTGGGTATTAACCGTGACGAATGGTGCCAGTGCCACGAGTGCTTATAGTGTTCCGTTCAGTATCTTAATCACTTACGTTGCTTAATTTTAATTGAATCTTTCATGAAAGAATTAATTAAATGTCGGATACATCTTTGCAGGTATGGGTAGATTCATTGCGAGAACGTCGATGTTGTTTTTCGGGTAGTCTTCATCCAACTCTTCTTGTAAACGTTCCAGATAATCTGCGTATCCCATGTTCTTCATTCTAGCATTGATCTCATGAACTGCTCTGACGTCTTGAAATCGTTTCCAACATTCACGATGCATCGACCTAGTGTCCCAATCATGTTTCGCTTTAAAGTCAATTGTTTTGCGGCCACACATATCGCATATTGCCATCGTACTATAATCTACTAAGAAGTTAATTCTTTAAGTCTGTGTTCAATGTATAAATGGATTCAGGAGTGAAGGAACCGAACATTGTGAAAGAAACCAAGAAGCTGCGTGTTGATTTGACAAGTGTTGATAACGCGATGAAAGACAACGTTGCTTTACTGAATGAATTGAACAAGAAGTATGAAGGTGTGTTGGCTGAATTGAAACGATTACAAGATCGTTGCACCATTCTTGAAATGTAAATCGTCAACTAAAGCCCTCATCCGACATTGCAACTGATGTAAATGTAAAATTGTGTTGTGTTCATGTATAGATGGATAAGATTCTTAGTTTTTACACGAAATCCAAATTCTTGAAGGCTTTCACGGCAATGCATTCAAGCAGTATTGGCAAAATAGTTGCTGAGGTTGCCAGTGTTTTAAATGCTTTCATTAAATCGATGGAATTTATTGAAGAAAATTATCAAGCTTTGATTGAAAACTCTCCTCAAGCGCAAGGTCGCTCAAAGAAACAAGTTCACATGCAACTGTTCAACCAAGAATTGGAAAAGAACGGTGTCAAGTTGGAGGATGTTGGACTCAGTATCGATTCATTGAGCATTGTTAATGATCAATTGGTTGCTGCATCCAAAGGCAAACTTGCCATTCAGTCAAAGCCTGTACAAGAAGCTGTACAAGAAACTGTAATTGATAATGTGTCAACCACCTCATCAGATAATGTAACTGTCCCTGCAAATTTACTGCCAGCAGGAGCCAATCCTGAATTGATCGAGAAGAAAAAAAAAGTCGGTTCTCGAAGATTATCGGTAGCATTACGTCGTGCTTTGTAATGTCAGCGTTATTTTGCATGGAGATTCATGATATTTGTTGAATTAGTGATCAATTGATCATCAATTCAATTTATTAAAAGTTCTTGCTCTTTTGTTGTCCCGTCTTTCCATACGAAATCGTTTGAGGGGAACAAGATATCCATTCGGTTCCAAAAGTATTCCTTCTGTTGGTTTGGTTTTGTTCTTGCTTTAGTTGCTTCTGTCACAAGCAGCATCACCTTTTTGTAACATTTCTGGTGATATTTGCGACCGTGCCATTCAAGTGCAGTTCTGAAGCTGACAAGATGAGTGTTGCAAAGCTGGCAATCAGATTTCATTCGTACTATAAACTACTAAAATGATTATTTCTTTAAGTCGGTTTTGTGTATTTATCTGATTTTGTATTTTCCAGTTTTCATTTTTCGATGTCGGTCAACTTGAAGCAAATTTACCGCGACCTCGAAGATCTCATTGAACGCGTCCGTGGGGGCGAGTTTAGTGAAACAACTACCCTGCGCTCTGAAATCTCCTACATCACTGAGGGCATTGTTGATGTGTACAAGGCCGTCCAGCAAAACAAAAAGGCGATTGAGCGACATGAAGAGCTTCTGCGCCAAGAACAAGCGCAGCTGGAGAACCTCAGGCGCAAAAGAGAGGCTGCGCACCGCAAAGTGCAACAAACCGAGCAGCATCGGCCGAGGCATGCAACCGCGCAACGCAGCCCAGCTGTCACCCGCGAGCAACTCAGGGCGCTGCCTGTCGTGTCTGGTGTGGTGATCGAGGAAGTGACGGACTTGTACGACTCCCCTTCTGCTGCTCCTGCACCTGAGCCCATGCCCATCATCCCTCTTCCTGCCCCCACCTATGCCAGCCAGCTCAACCAAGACGAGATCAATGGCATCGACACGTTCGTTGCACACCCGAGCGGATACAACTTTCTCGATCTCGCCATCAGAACCAATGCGCCTGACTACACGCTTCTGCCAGCTGAAATGCACACAACGGCACAGTTGATCTGCGGGTCTCAGAACTACATTGGTTACGCGATCGAGTCTGCGGCAAACCGCCAGCTGTACTACGAGCAGCCGCTCCAGCTGACCATGTAATCCGTTTTTGTTCTGAGCCAGTGAAACAATTCTTCAATGCCAATAAAACAGTTCTTCAAAGCCAAGAAAACAATCCTTCAAAGCCAGACAAATAATTCTTCAGAGCCAAAAAAAAAATCAGAGACAGTGAAAAAAAATTCTTCAGAGCCAACAGAAAAAATTCTTCAGAGCCAACAGAAAAAATTCTTCAGAGCCAACAAAAAAAATTCTTCAGAGCCAAGAAAAATGCTATTCAGAGCCAAAACAGATTCAAGACCATTGTTTTTTTTTTTACCAATGTGCCGCGGTCAGAACGTCGACGGCTCGCCTTGCAAGAGCAAGAACTATCCTTACAACGGCTTCTGTCATCAGCATCATGAACAGGATCTGAGCGGCGCCGCCACACTCGCTTTCACCGACCAAGGCACAGAAAACCTCAACATCGCCGTTTCTGCTCTGAACAACACGGCCGCTGTCACCGCCAATGCAGCCAACACGATTGCGGCCATGCAAGAGCTGATTGAGAAGACGAAGGAGAGCAAGGCTGAACTGGAGCGCAGCGCGGTGCAGCGCGAGCAGCTGGTGGACAAGCTTTCGCAACGTTGTGATGTTTTGCGCGACACGATTCAAAAACAGACAACCGACATGACCGCCGCAGCCGAGGCGAACAAGATCATCACAGCCGCTTTGGCTGCTGTCAAAGCTGAGCTGGATGCGCAGAAGGCAGAAGTTGAAAAACTCGACGCCGAGGTCTTCCGCCTTGAGTTTGAGGCATGGCTACCGTCTGTCGAGGCGTCAATTGATTTGGACGACGACTACAGCGTGTGGTCAGACCATGACCCTGTGAAGGAAGTCGCATGGGACAAGATCAACGAGAAACTGATCCGCGGCCTCAAAGTGGAGTTCAAAGACCCGATTGAACTGCCACCCCCGTCGACGAGCAACCGCCCTGTGAGCCAAGCTGGTAACGCTGCGATTGCGCGTCTCGCGTCGAGTTCTGCTGTCTCTCCGTCCACCGTCGCCAAGAAGAAGAACAAGAACAAGAACGGCAAGTCCAAGAGCTCTGGCACGAAGCTTCCTCATCCCAAGCAAACTGTGGGAGACGTGGTGTCTGCAGATGACTCCGACGACTCCGACTTTAGTTTCTGAGCTGCACTAGAATTGTGTTGTTTGTTCGTCCTGCCAGCTTGTCCTGCTTGTTCCTTCACAATTCAATGGTTCCCTTTTCCTTCACAATCCAATGCATCATTCCATGTGGTACCCCCTTTGAAACGATACAATCCAGCTGAAACAGATGCAGTAAATGGTCGACGCTTCTCTTTTTCTCTTTCCCATTCTCCTCTTTCCTTCTCTATCCAATCGTCCTGCTTTCCTCCTACTATTGAACAGTTCTCTTTACTGATGCTATTATTGTTGACCCTTTCCTGTTTTCTCTTTCCTGAAACATTTAGTAGAGAAAGTGAAGGAGGAGCGTTCCAAAACCTTTTTAATGGAAATTTTTTTTTACTTTTTTTTGTAATACAAGAAATATTACTCACTTATTTCACTTATTCACTTTTAGTACTATTATTAAACTATAATAATAGTATTTTATTGTTATTATTATTACTAAGTGAATAAGTGAAATAAGTGAGTAATATTTCTTTGTATACAAAATTTTTGATTTATTTTTTTGTGTAAAATAAGGGTTTTAACTTTCCTCACTCACTTTTCCTACTACCAAAAAAACCATTAACAGCAAACCCCGTATAAGCAAAACAAATACAGCCATTGATTTCAGCCATTACTAGCACCTATAAACAGCACCACCAACAGAAGGATTTCGCGCTAGCGAACATCCTATCCGTAATTCGCACAATCAAAGCAAGCGATTTGTTCTGCTTGAAGGGGGGGGGACTTTTTGTTCGTAGGAACCTGGCGGAGACTCCGATCACTCTTATTTACGACAGCGCATTTGCATCCTTGGCGAATCTTCGATCATTGTGCGTAACTCTTTTTGCTGGACTGGTCAATTCTGCACGGTCTTTTCTCTCACGCAAAATGCAACCCTGCCCTGATCAGAAATCTCGCCGACACCTTGTTCACCGATTTAAACGATGATGTGCTTGAACCATTGACGGGTCTGGAAACATTGTGAGAAAAAGGCTGGGCTCGCATTGTCACTCTTGCCACAGACTCACGCGACTGGGATTGAATTTTGCCAGGGATTTGTCCGGCTCCATGATCGAAAATGTTTATGATTTCGCGTTCGAGTACATGGCGAATCTTCAAACCTTGTAAGGATGACTGGAAATGCAGCGAGGGTTTGCATCGTTGAACTTAAATGCAAAATTGCG